TTCCCCACCCTTGCTCCGATAGTTGTTTGTAGGGGTCGTCCCCACCCCAGGGCAGAGAAGGGGCGGGGATAACTCCCCCCCCCCCCCCCTGCCTACACACACTCGCCGCCCACCCACCCAGCCGAGCCGCCGCAGGTCACGTCCTTTCTGAACACTTCCGAGACACTCCCGAGACACTTCCTCCACCCTACTCGGACCCGCAGGTCACGTCCTTTCTGGACGACCTCTACGGCAGCGCAAACTTTGAGAGCGCGCAGGAGCGGCTGGCGGCGTGCGCGGCGACGCTCGACTCCGACTTCTTCCTCTGCAACGCCGAGGGCGACTTTGTCAAGTACGCGCGCCTCCACCTCTTCGAGGGCTACTGCCGCATCCACGAGCGGATCGACCTCGGCTCCCTCGCGCAGAAGCTTGGCACACGCCGCCCTAGATCCGCACACACGCCCTCTCGTACTCCAGCCAGCGCTCGAGAGGACACGCACTCCGCCGTACTCACTGCCTCTCGCAGCCCCTCGTACTCACGCGGTGCCCTGGAGACTGCCCACAGTGCCCTCTTCCCGCCCTCATGTCTGCGCACCCACCGCGCAGGCATGGAGCGGATCGCCGCCGAAAAGTGGATCGTCAAGATGGTCTCGGACGCGCAGCTCAACGCAAAGATCGACTCAAAGTCTAGCCACGTCATCCTCGGCGCCCAGCCGCCCGACGTGTACCAGCAAGTCATCGAGAGGACAAAGGGCCTCTCCTTCCGCTCCTACGTCCTCGCACAGAACCTGCAGCAGCGCGAGCAGCAGGCAGCGCGCGCGGCCAAAGTCGAGCTGCAGGAGGCGGCGGCGGCCGCGGCGCAGTGAGGCAGCGAGCTCGGGTCGCGCCCGCGCGCGAGGCACACGGCCGGCAGAGATTCGGTTGTGGAAGAAGATGCCGGCGTTGTCGCGGTTGCCGCCGCCCCGCGGCCCGTGCTTGCAGCTTCGGCTTGGGCTTCCGCGCGCCTTTTGCCTGACACGCCCACACCGATCACCGTGGAGTCGTCGTGTCTTGCCCCGCATGTCGAGATGACAGATGTTAAAACAGACACGAGACAGTCAGAAATAAAACCCACTTGATGCTGTGTCTGCCTATCGCTCGCCGGTCGGACTCTAGATCGACTATCTCACTGTGCGTCCCCGTTCCCGCGTTCGCCGTTCTCGAGCGAGCGTTTCAGGCTCTCGAGCGGGGCACGGGGTTCGCCGCCGGTTCGGGGTGTGGCGTGTGCCAGGGGCGAAAACAAGCTCAAAAGTAGAACGCGAGGTCGTCGTCGTCCGCCTGCTTGTCGCCGCCGAGGTTGTCGCCGTCCTCCTCCGACGCAGCTTGCTCGTTGAGGCGCCTCGCTCCCTCGAGCCAGTCGTTGACTATGGAGGCAACCATCTCGGGACCGCTGCCGCCCGCGCCTTGGCCGCCGCCGCCGCCGCCGCCCTCGCCGCCCGCGCCAAAGGAATGGCCCGCGCCGTCGACGAGCCTCAACCCGTGCCTCCCTCCGGCCAAGTGTTGCCTGTGGTACATGCGCGCCCGCAGCACCGCCACGTGTTCGTCTGCCTGCAGGACATGTCCCGGACACGTCATGGGCGTGTCGTGGACACTGCCCGCAGCGCCGGCTGCTGCGCCTGCAGGAAGCGCATCACGATGTGTAGCTCCTCGGCACCCGCCTCGAGCGAGTCGCCGCCGAAGGCGCTGTAGCCGGCGTCTCCCGCGTCGTCCTCCCCTTCGCCGCTGCCTGCGGCGGCGGCGAGGCGGCGGACCGAAGCTGGCACGAACGCGAGCGAGAGGAAGTGCAGCCTCGCCTGCAGATCGTGTGCGAGGGCGCGCGAGCTCGCCGACGGGCCATGCAGCAGCACGAGCATCCCTGCCTTGCGGAAGGCCTCGTCGGCGAAGGTGTACGAACCGCACAGCCGGCCGACCGTCTCCATCTCGCCTCGAGGCCCGGACGGCAGCCTCATCTCCGAGACGGGCGCCTGTTCACAGCCGGAGGTGTGAAGAGGCGCCGTTCTCAGCCTCATCTCCGAGACGGGGGCGGCGCCTCGCTCTTGCGCGCGCGCCGTGGCGGCACGCGCCGCGCCGCGCCGCCCCGCATAGGCGCCCCACCCGCCCTCGGCTGCAGCAGCAGCGTCGCTCCGGCGGCGAGTCCGGCCGCCCGCAGCGTGGCTGCCTCGTCCTCGAGCTCGCGCGGCGGCAGCGAGGAGCGGTCCACGAGGGCGTACTTGCCGATGAGCTCGTCGACGTCGAGCTTGAGGACCGCCGCGAGCCAGCCGAGCACCTGTCCGCAGCCGGAGGTGTGACGAGGCGCCGTTCACAGCTTGAGGACCGCCGCGAGCCAGCCGAGCACCTGTCCGCAGCCGGAGGTGTGACGAGGCGCCGTTCACAGCTTGAGGACCGCCGCGAGCCAGCCGAGCACCTGTCCGCAGCCGGAGGTGTGACGAGGCGCCGTTCACAGCTTGAGGACCGCCGCGAGCCAAGCCGAGCACCGCCCAGACGGGCGGTCTCCCGCCCTGCCACGCCGCCTGCACGACGCCTCCCGCGGGCAGACGGACAGAGAAACGCTCCCGCCGGGCAGACGCGTCGCTGCTCGGGGGCAAGCTGTGCAGCGCCGACCAACCGCCAGCCGCATCGGCGCCGCCCTCGTCTGCCGCAACCTCGCTGCCGCCGCCGCCAAGCCCTCTAGCTGCACCGCCTCCCGGCGGCGGCACGGACGGAGCTGGCGCGGCCTTCTCGGGCGGTGCGGCCTCGGGCGGTGCAAACGGCCTGCGCGCCTGCCTGTGCGCGCGGTCTGCGCGAGCCTCGGCGAGCAGCAGCGCCTTCTCCGCCTCGCGCTGCCGCCGCTCGGTCGCGAGTGCGCGGGTGCGCTCGCTGCGGCCCGCCGCCGCCGCCGCCTCGTCCGCCTCTGGCGACGCGGTACTCTTCTTTGCCGCTGCACGCCTGCGGGGGGGACGGAACGGCGGTGGGGAGGCGAGAGGCGCGCCGCAAGCCTTGGGGGGGGGGGGGGGGGGCGAAGCCCCCCGGCCCGGCGTGGCCCGCTTTCCCCGCATGGGGTTTTGCCGCCGCCGCCGCCTTGGCCGCCGCCGCCTTGTTTCCAGGCGGCGGCGGCC